GACAACGCAACCCAGGTAAATAAACATGACATCTCGAAGGAACTCTTCTAAGATTAAATGAAAAACTTACAAGGCAGTGCACTTCCTATAAAGTTCTCGCGCATGTGGCTTGCGCACGAGTCTCACGACTTCAACAACATGAGGCCAAATTTTGATGCCGTTGATTTCAATATTCTGAAATCTCCAACTTTCTAAGAAATCTTAAAATGCAGTATTCTATGGCTGAACATAAAATAATCCAAATCCGAATTGAGCAAAGTGAAAAAAAAACGCTTCACCGCGGTTACAGCAGGTACAACAGATGCCGCAGCACTCAACATGTCGAGACCACGTCTTCGCACCCAATACGTAACTCTTTTCATTTTGAACCAAAGTTTCCAATGAATCGCTCATTTCATGTTTCAGAGTCATTCTGTACTACCATTCAATGGGGCAACCACGTGGTGATGCAACGGAGCCCTCTCGACTGCATTCCTCGAGACCATAGTGTAGTTCGCTGCGGACGGTTGGGCGTGTCAGGCGGGATGAGTTTGGCGCGGTGCCAAACCCGTTCTCCACCAGTTGTTGAAGCGAGCAAATGATATGACTGTATCATATCGTTCGTATTATTCGTTTTCTACCACTTTTTGTCGCATGCGCTCTTCAACAAGAAGGCAGACGGGGTGACACACTCATACTGCCTGACACGCCCAACCGTCCGCAGCGAACTAGAGTGTAATCTCGTCGTCTACACTCTACTTCGCTGCGGACGGTTGGGCGTGTCAGCCAGTATGAGTGTGTCACCCTCTTTGAGCTGTTCTCTGCCTTCTTGTTGAAACGGGCATGCGACAAAAAGCAGTAGAAAACAAGTAATACGAAAGGTATGATACAGTATTGTCATTTGCTCGCTTGAACAACTCGTGGAGAACGAGTTTGGCACCGCGCCAAACGCAGCCGCACGAACACGCCCAACCGTCCGCAATGAACTACACTATACACTCCACACAATCTAGGTCTGGGACAGAGACCACTTGGTCGTGCGGCAGCGCGACGGCTACCAATATATCACTCATAACACTATTCACCATTTCTGCCAAGTTGTGTTCACCTTTTGCGACGGCAGAACAGGAAAAATGGCTATTTGATTTTTTATGAGATTGCGCGTTAAAGGAGACGGTAGGTGTGGATCTGGCTATTTGCGAGAAATAGGGATTCGATGTTTTAGGGGACTCCCACCTCGCTGCTGTGGTAAATTATGAACGCAGTTCTATGCCCTAGTCATGCTCTTCTCTCCAGCTGATACATAACTGTCTCTACCGGGATCTCTTTCTGTCTACAAGATGGATTTCAGTAGTGATGGACCACCATTCCCCGTGTGTTTTTGCAGTTCATTGATTAGCAGCACTTTCTATAATTCCCAACAATGGACATCAAATACTGAAACATTGTGGTATAGGCCATTTTCCTCTAAAATATTTATCTACAAAAAACTCAAGTACTAAAACAGTTACTCATCAATTTCAAGCCAAATTATGAAAACTCTTCGGGAGTCATAATCACCTCCTCTTCGCTAAATTCAGGTTCTTCTAATTTTATAACCTTATCCGCAACGAAGACAGGTTTTCCAATGCCCACGACACTTGCAGCAGCAACATCTTGTCCTTCCAAATTTTCTGCACCGTCGGGAATGACCATTGTTTCCTAGAAGAAGAAACTCAAGGAGATAGGCACCTGCTTCCCATGCCTTATTTTCAGTGCTTTGAAAAGAAAATGCGGTAATTTTTTATTTCAGTTAGTAAATGTTAGCAGATTGCAAAAAATTGGGTAGTTCTCATGGCGCACTTAACTAGAACAATACTTTGCCTCGAGATAAAATCTGGAGCAGATGCGTTCAGATACGCGCAGTCAAAGGTGTCAGAGGATATGACTGCCGATGGCTTAAAGGGCAGTTGGCACGCGATAAATCGCTATACAGGTGTAGGATTTGTACAACTGGCTTAACATGAATTCCGTGACCTCGGACAGGCGCTGCGTGAAGCCTTTTCCAAGGAGGGTACCTATAACGCCCTATTGAGCAACAACTTTACGTCCCAAACGCCTTCCTTGCCCGCCCGCCCACAAACGGACGACCGTTTCTGACGCTCGTATTCATTCATTTGCTGAGCAAATTATGAAGCAAAGGGATTGGTATGAAGCGGCGTGATGCTGCATGCATATATGGGTACACATATGCAGCCGTATCTTCGGTAGCGGTGATTGGCAAGATGCGTACGGGAAACTCGTCCGAAATCGATTTACAAGTCACTGAAAACGGAGGCTTTTTCTTCGCCGGATTTTGACCTTTTTGAGACTTTTCGCTCCGTTTCTTGTCGCATTTCCCACTATACAGAGCGCCTACTAGGCATTTTAGGTACGTAACCATCCGCGGCACCACTGCCTTTAAGTGGCTTTTCCAACCGACTTCCAATGACCGATCTTTTTTGGTGCAAATCTTGTGGATCATGGTGGTAGTTTTAAATTTACGAAAGGAGTCCTCCGAAGACAAACTGTACGCTTACTTCCAGAGACTGTACTCGCCTTAAATTGTCCGATTGATGCTGCAATGGCGTGCCCCTTTTTTGCTTAGAAAGTGCAAGGGAGTGGTGCTGGGAGAATGTGACAGCCATTTGCGGTCTCATATGGCCGGCCCGTCTCCGAATAATCTTCCAAGGTGTAGGCGGCTCGCATCGATGCCCAGAGTCCGCAGCGAATACGACACCCGGCGAAAAAACATCAAAGGTGTGGAAAGGCAAGATCAAAGCAGAGCGTGTGGACTGTAGCTAAGGCTAGCGTTTCAGAAAAATCTCGCGCTTTCCGGTCGCGCATTCGATCACGCGATCGAATCGGCCATGCTTTTGACTCCACGCTGTCTGCGAAGTCCTGAACGGGAGTGCCTAAGCGCCCTGGACGCAGCGGATGACACGGAGGTGCAGTGGTGCAATCGTGTTTAAAGCCACGGAATGTTACGAGCTTGCTACGAGAAACAGAAGACCTACCTGTTACCGGTACAAATGCAACCGGTAACCACAGTGGAGTGGGCATGATCTCTATGTTCCGCCAACTCTTCGAACGCGCTTTTCAGCTGCCTAACATCTCCTAGTGCAGTTCACAAAGCCATTCGTTACTTCTTGCCTTCTCCCTTCGTCCTATCTAATTGTAGACGCACTTCATGTCTCAAAGAGCCAGCTGCAAGTGGTACTAGCTAGCTAGTTGTTTTCCTTTTTCATTGTTTATCCATTGTGGTGACAGGAAGTAGTTCTTCCGCGGAGCCTCTTTCCGACGCAAGATCACATCCATAGTTGCTAAACTGGAGAGTGGAAGAATAGGGGAATCGCGGAATTAGAAGAATCGGAAAATGCGCTAGAAAGACACGAATTGATCAGAAGATCTGATGAATCGTCGAATTTTCGATCTTTCACCAATTCTATAACCCTTTTCGCGTTTTCTCCGAGTCTCCTGGGTCCAGAATCCATTAGGTCGCCGTCCTCGACTCTAGTTCGAATTATGAAGGCGGCCTGAGAAAGAATTGGGAGAATTCCACTCTTAACAGTCAATCACTGTCATCGAAGGCGAATTACTGGTATAACAGCCTACATATATATCCAGTCTCTAGCAAGCATTCTGTCAAAAAACGTTCATACTCGGCGTATTAGAACGCTAGAATCCACGAAAAAGTTCAGATACCCGTCGATTGGTCTGACCCTCTAATTAGCCGAAGTCAGACCAATTAATAACATACGCACGTCACAAAACGCCGAGTATGGACGTAGCATCAATTCCGCAGCTTGTCTGTTCGTCCAGAATCCATGAGTAGCTGAACTCTCAACACAGCTCAACCAAAAACAAGGCAGCATGGATGCAAAAAATCGTTATAAAAAATCCATGGTAAAAACATCCTAAAATGGTGTGACTCGAAGGGCGAATTTAACGCCACGTCGCGTGCAGGTGCGAAAGTCTAAAGGTTTTCGTGGCAGGACACCATTGACACTGACGGCGGCTAATTCGAACCACCATTTAAAACAACATGGCCTGAACATGGCGAAAGGGCAATTGTGGGAGAACCGTGACTGGCGTGGGCGGAGAGGGAAGAACTGGGAAGAGATTGAGACTCTCGAAGAGATTTTCATCAAGCTACTTCAGATAAGAATTGCTAGGAAGTAGCTTCCAGCGTTTTTAGGGGAATAGAAACGGGTGCTAGTAACCTTGAAGAGGGCATTTTGAGCACTCGTTGTGCAGAACTGTCATTAATGTTATCCCAGTAAGATCATCAGTCAGATCATCTGGAAGTAGTCCACTCTGGGGCTCCTTCTCCCTTCAGCTTCGAGCAAAAGCCCTTTTCTGTATTACGACATTTCTAGTTTCGCACGAAAAGTTCCTCGAACAACCCCTCCAAGGTTATTAGCGCCTGGAAAATGACAAAATGGCTCTTTGCTACCATGAAGTTCGGAGACTGAACATGTCCACGCCGCTGACTTTATCTTGGTATTAACTTGAACCCTAGTTCGCTGCGGACGGTTGGGCGTGTCAGGCAGTATGAGTGTGTCACGCCGTCAAAGCCGTTCTCTGCCTTCTTGTTGAAGCGCGCATGCGACAAAAAGTGGTAGAAAACGAGTAATACGAACGATATGATACAGTCATATCATTTGCTCGCTTTAACAACTGGTGGAGAACGGTTTGGCACCGCGCCAAACTCATCCCGCCTGACACGCCCAACCGTCCGCAGCGAAGTACACTATATTTCATGACAGTGTGAGAATCAAGAAAACAGCAGCTATCATTGTGATTACTGACATCTGTCGTTCTGTAAATCCACAGCGGAGAATCCTTGACGAACGTGTAGATTTCTCATCGTAGGTTAGTTGTCTCATCACCAGTCGTACAATAATCTTCGTTTACAGCTATGACAGGAGTTCCAGAAACCATCTGTTGTCACAATTGTAAACGAAGACAAAAATGAAGTAGGGGAAAGTAATGATAGCGTGACGGTGCCATGTTGCCCTGACTTCGCACCTATTTCGCCATGCTTTTCCATGTCTAACCATAAAAATGGCTACGTGCGCCACTTTCGTAGTCGAAATTAGTTCTCGGCATGTCATACGAGAAACATTCAACCATAGATGAGTAGGTGTAATAAATACAAAATATGTAGATAAGCGGGCATGATGTGGCATCATCGCGCCACCGTATGCCCCTCCCAACGAGCCTTGCTCGCTGTGGATGTTTGGGTGTCACGGAAACCAGCCCGTTGCAGTGCCAGCCTGTTCTCCACCAAGTATGGTCGTCTGCTAATTTCCACAACTGATGAAGAACATGTGAGCGCCGCGCTAACCCAGCCCGGCACTGGGGCAAGTGGTACCGCAGGTGAGCAGATGGCTTCCTGTAAATTGAGAATGAAGCTTACCTACATAGCAATAACATTGCCAATTTATATGGTAGACGTCTTAACCGTATCACACCCTTTCACCCTCAAGTGGACAGTAACCGAATAGGGCGTTTTAAGGGCCATTCTGTAGAAATATAGCAATCAGATTATTGCATTCCATAATTATTAATTGTCGTCGTTTTGTGGTGGCGAAACCGTTGATGAATGCTGTGCAAGGGTTGGTTAGAGGCATAGCCAACAAAAGTCCGAGCCTCTTCTTCACCCATGAATGGTCATTTTGATTTTTTGCAGAGATTCCGTTCTTTGAGGAAGATAATAGATGGAAACTGTGTCTTTGGGACCGTTTGATCTACTAGGTCTGGTGCTTTGAGGCGTGAGACGGTCTTTAGGACCACGCGACGTCGCGTGCGCGCCAATCTGCAAACACCGCGGGCTTGCAATGGAGCGGACGCTTGCGATAAACTCATTGCGTTATTGAATTAGCTGGTGTTCTCTACAGTTTTTCAGCCACGCCTTTCACTCTAGTGGGACCTGGATTGTCATGTAGTCAGATTTTGTTTTATTTGGATAACTAGAGTGATTACGTAGCATTTATGGTCCAGAGACACCTGCAGAGATTCTGCTCCCGCATTGTTTCAGCTTATCTACTGATTTCTTATCATTTGACGGCCACACTGTTTCTGGACAGCATACCCTCACAAATTGTACTTATTGTCGTTTTGCTGAGATGCAGCGAACTGTCCTGTTGGAAAACATAACAGCGAAATGTCACTGTCGCGACAACAAAACCATCGCGCGCGCGTCGATCGTAACCATACCGTGTCTGCATTGTCGCGCGCGACGCCGGGTGGTCCTAACGTCACATACCCTCTGAGGCGTTGCTGATCATCGCTTTACATCAGAGTGTGGACTGCTGAGTGAGCAACTTTGCTAAAATGGAGGATGGGAGAACAGGAGAATTGGAGAATATGCGCCAAGTGAGCGGATGGGAACCGAGATTCTTCGGTTTCCGCCTTTTCCCTAGCCGTCAGGTCACACTTCTCTTCGACACCTATTCTTCGCTCCTCGCATTCTCCAGAGGCATTCGTAATAATTTAAATATTAATTCATCATAATTATAATTATATTAATTGATAATTATAATTTCCGCATTCATAACGAAGTATTAACATGGCCTAACAGGGGAACACGTGGCAGTACACGGTGTAGAGTCCTTTCCTTGAATCGATGGCCGGAATTAAAACGATTTTTGGGTACTTCATTATTTGATGGCTTCTGTGAAAGAATTCCCTCCGCGTCTTCAACATTCTCTCAATGACACGCTACTTCTCTTTAGACTATGCTTTCATACAATATGCACACTTCGTGACTATGCGCTCTTAGGATGGTTTCATACTTTGCGTCAGCGTTTTGGACGTTTCGAGCATACAGCAGGGTTTTGAGCTATTAGTAAATATACGATATCGACTAGCGTTTGAGGCGCGAGCTGCCCGAAAAAGTTCGGAACTACCTGCCGAAACCCGGCCCATATTACATTAGTGTATTACAGTTCGCTGCGGACGTTTGCGGGGATGATCCGCTGCGGCCTGCGGCTTGCGCTCATCGCCAAACTGCTTTACACCAGTTGTTGTAGCTGTGGAACCGTGATTATGGCGACTGTATCATATCGTTCGTATTACTCGTTTTCTACCACTTTTTGTGGCATGCAAGAACAGGAAGGCAGAGAACGGCTTTGATGGGGTGACACAATCACGCCTGCCACAGCGAGTGTCGGCCTGACACGCCCCACCGTCCGCAGCGAAATAGAGCGTACAGCTGATATAATCGCAATTAGTCAGGCTGCCAACATAGTCCAGACCTGCGGCGTTTCCAACATCAGTTGTTTTCTACCTAAATCAATAGTTCCAAATCGCCATTGGTAGAGCAATGCTGCCAGAGGCGGGCTCATCCCACCCTCCTCACGCCGTTCCCGACAGACTTGCAATGTTTAAAACTGTTGTATAGAGGAATGAACTCTGATAAAGTGTGATACTGCGCACCTCTTTTGAGAGCGTATTTAAGAGAGGTGAGCGGTAGGGTTGAGTTAGTTTTGTGTGTGTGGTCTACTCGCCAGATAAAACTTTCTGTGCGTATCGTCTACTTCGACATTCTCACCAGGACAACGACAGAACGTCAGATCCAACAGTGGCGATCAGGATATCAACAGTGGCGATCAGGATATTCAACAGTGGCGATCAGCGATCCACTCAAGCAACGAAACCAAGATTCCCCAAAGAAGAAGAAGTAGAACAGAAGCCCAGGACCAGGACCAAAGCAAGACAAGGATTCTGGTCACAGCAGAAGAACCAGTGGTCTATAGTGCAACGAAGAAGAATCAAGGACTCTTCGTGCAGGATCTCCTTTTATTCGACTGTGCAGAATACTAGCCGTATATATCTGCTCGTTATTTATCTATCTATCCGATATATCACATTCTCAGCGAGAACCGGACGAGGACCGAGCAGATAAGTCTTTTGATCCTGCCTGCTCTGCATAGAAGTCGGTTTTCCTTGTTACCTGCACAGTTGGATTGTAAGGCACGTGGTCAGGATCGGATAACCAGCAGCGTGTCAGCCAAGCACAAGTTATCGACAGAAGTACAGCCAGCTCACCGGACAACCACATCTACACTTGGAAAATGGATGCGACCACCATCCTGACCATGTTTAGAGAAATTATGGACGAACAGAAGAATGTTATCGCCAATGTTATGAACGAACAGAAGAATGTTATCGCCAAACTGCTAGATCGCATTCCAGAACGCGGACAGGGAGATTGCAATACGACGGAGCACATAGCACTCCCAAACTTGATGGCAGCGTTGAGCAACCGCATCGAAAAGTTTGTGTTCGACCCGGATGCCGACATGATTTTCTCCAAATGGTTTTCAAGATACAAGGATGTGTTTAACGAAGACGCAAAGCAGCTTTCTGAAAATACCAAAGTCAGATTGCTCTGCGAAAAACTGGATCCTGTATCTTCGATGAAGTACCAGAGACATCGTCTGCCAAGAGATTGGCACGGAATCGGTTCGTTCACCGCACGATGGTGGACAATACTACAAGCATACTGTTGATTTCTAAGTCGTCATTGCTTCACCACGAGATATCATAATGTCTCAATGGCTAGAGAATGAGCCAATCAGCAATGACTTCCTCACGATTATACGCGGCGTCGGGTGATATAGAATTTTGCGACGGAGAGCAAAGATTTCACGAGCTTAGTATCGAATCGGATTCAAATGCTTGCCTTGCTGGATTTCGGAGCATTGAGTCACAGCAGCGAAGGCAGCAGAGATCAGGCAGAGGCGCTGATCACTAATTACGGATACGAGGACCACCAAAGCAGGCAATAACGGCTCTCACTGCAACAATTGCATCAGTCGAGCTGCGAAAAACTTCTTAAGCCTTCAAGAGAGACAGTAGTGCCCAAACCGATGCGCCGCGAACTATGAAACTTAGTGGCAAGCCCCGTACCGTCCATGAAGCCGGAATGGAAAATAAATGTTGGACTTCGATGAAGGCAACCATTGGTGCTAGTGGATGCCAAGCGAAACCTTGGTTCTGCAAGAAGTGCAGGAAGGTCGCTCACAAGGAAAGGTTTTGTGACACTTTACGACAAAAGAAGACTGCGAGTCGCACAGAGGCGACGCAGAAAACTCAGCATACTAAAGAGAAGTTCTCGAGGAACAGAAACAACAGAGGTCCGAGAAGGCAAGTACGAATCGTCAAGATTGCAAATGCAGCAGTTCAGGCAAACTCTTCCCGTGTGTACATCGACGCCGTAGTGAACAACTACTCTGTCAAATTCCTTCTCGATACTGGATCAGACATCACATTACTGCAACGAGAGAGATTTTGGAAAAAGGTATGGCGATCCTCCAGCATTGAAAAGACCAACTATATGTCGCGTGAAAAACGCAAGTGGAGATTCCATGAAGATATATGGAAAGCTTAAATGCAAGATTACCATGAAAGGTGTCACTACTGAAGGAGACGCCTATGTGACGCCGCACAGCTCACTTTTAGGTCTCGAATGGATTCGAGCAAATGAGAATTTGATGCACCACATAGAAATGATGGCTGAAGAAGTGAAGGCCAACTGTAACCCCAGACGTGAAGAAGAGGTGAAGAAAACATTCCTGGATGTTTTCGAAGAAGGTGTAGGACGCTGCACCAAGGAAGAAGTCAATACGTTGAAGAGAGGATTTAGAAATCTCAAAGGGGAAGAGAAACCGTCAGAAGACAAGTTCAATGTTATATTGCAAGCACACCGAACCACCCCACACAGATGTCTTGAGGACAGAACAGAATCATCGACAGGGATGGACGCCGAAGAAAATCGAAGGAAGATGAAGCAAGAATACGCTAGGAGGAACGGTTCCATTTCGAAGGAATTCCATAAGGGATACGACTGTACGCAGATGTGGAAAGCCCCACACTCCACATGGAAGCAAGGAGTTGTCGCAAAACGCCTTGGGAAGGTCAACTATGAGGTCCCCGTGGAAGGAAGACTGATGCGGAAACACGCAAACCAATTACGGCACAGCAACACAAGGACAAGCTGGAATCGTGTAGACAAATCGTTGAAAACCCTGCTCGACATGTTAGAAGTGGACGACAATTGGCTAAAAAGCAACGACGATACTGCTAGTGACTTGGACGTCAACACCGCTCTACCGTGCTCTCCAGAACTATCAATGCGACGATCGACTAGAATACGAAGACTAAGTGAAAACGATATGGCATTGATGTCTAGATTCTAATTATGAATGTTTTGTTTCCCTTTGTAAGTAGAAAGACAACTGTTGTTCACATTTTTCCTTGTCTTTCTACTGGGGGGAGGTGTTGTATAGAGGAATGAACTCTGATAAAGTGTGATACTGCGCACCTCTTTTGAGAGCGTATTTAAGAGAGGTGAGCGGTAGGGTTGAGTTAGTTTTGGTTGTGGTCTACTCGCCAGATAAACTTTCTGTGCGTATCGTCTACTTCGACACTCCCAGAGACAACACAGAAGTCAGGGATTTAACACCACCCA